TTCCCATCTCGGCCAAATGTTCGTGTAACGGTTGTGCTATTGTAATCGTGAATGTGAAAAATAAGATTAAATCAATATTATGATCATACAAATAATTTGGTCTATACAGAATCATCCTTTTTAATAGTCCAACTAGAGACTGATGGTGACAACTTAAAAACCGACAAATGACATTAAAAATACATACAATACAATGACGCAGAGTTAATCCTTGGAACTTTGTTAATAATGTCTTTAAAGACTGTTTTATTATTAGTGCAATGTGCATAGCCTACAGGCAGTTACTTCATTCTTCTAGACTCCAACAAAGAAAAGTCGGAAGCGGGAAAAACTTGGTGTGTATCAAATGATCTTAACGTAACACCGTTTTTTAAATATTCGATACATTATGATATTACAAAAATATACTATTATTTAGACAATTCTCATATTAACCAATTAACCAATGAATTGATATTAACCAATGGAAACTCGTATTAACATTCCTAGGTACAGTACCGTACTTTGAGAATTGTATATCTGATAAAACTACATGACTTAACTCACTACTGGTTATTCCAAAATAATAGAAAAAACACTTAAAATTATTACGAGTTATTGCTGATATATTAAATTATCCAAGAGTTAATACCACTTCTATTAGGTATAAATATAACCCAATTCATCTTTTTTCTTCTACCTCACCAATTACCAAAGTTTCTGGGAATGTTATGAAGGAGGATGTGGCGTAGAAGTGAATTGAAAGAGGGTAAATGAAATGAAATATACGAAATACAATAGTACCATTTGCATATCTAAAATTTTTCTTGGTGTTTAAATAAAGACATTCAAAAAACCCAGGTGTCTTCTTAATTTAAAAAAGGTATCTGTTTACTGAGAAGTGAAAAACTTCAGTATTTTAAATAAAATAATTCATACACTATTTACTAAAAAAATACTTAAATTCAATTTATTCAATTTATTCAATATTCAATTTATCTATAAATTAAATTTATTTATATTCAATACTTAAATTTATCTAGCTGCTCAAAATTCAATAGAAAATAGATAATAACTGTGTATTACTTAATTTTTCAGATGATTATTATTCAAAATAAATAAAATTATTTATTTCGGAAAACACGGATAATGATATTAATATAGGGGAAGGTGGTGCAAGATGAGGTCATGGGGTAAGACGGGGACGTCTGTTTATTTGTGGTTAATGTGATTTTATCTAGCTGTTATTGAGGAAGTAAATGTCAACCTCAAAAGGGATCATGGGACAGGAGAATGTCCAAATCGCTTACTTTGTTTGGAAGCAAGACAAGCAATACTTCATCTAATTTTACGTCTGCTACAAATTTTCTACAAAGTAAGTATCACTGTGAACTTTTACATTACCTGTTACATTAAAGATATTATGGTATTCGAAGTAACCTTTAAGACTGTAATTGTTTAGTTTTGAAATAAAGTTTACCTGCGTTTGGAGTAAGTATGAAAAGTGTACGTTGAGGGCAAGATGGGGTACCCAACTAGCCCCAGGTTGACCATGAATATGGCCTATGAATCCAGAAGTATTTTTGGAGGCAGACTTATTGCTGCAGAGATGACAAAGTGATGCCTTCAGCAAGGCTAGGCTTAACAAGAAACAAAAGACAAATGACACAGAATGCCTCTATTGTGAAAGGTTATATACTGTATCTACAGAGAGTTGGGCTAAATGTAGCCGTTATGATAAATGGGCACACTGTACTTGTGCCAATATTGAAGAAAACGACAGTATAACCATTTTAATTTGTCCTTCTGGTATATAAAAATAATATTCACATCTTACCCCATGGAAGGGGCAAGATGGTGCATTTACATATAATTTTAAAATATTAAATTTTCTTGTTTTTAAAAACGTTTTTCAAAAATTAAATTTTGTATTATATATTACCATATGTTATAGTTGCTGAAAATAAAAAAATTATTTTTCTCATCAAAGTTATGAGTTTTCAAACCTTAACGTTCTCATCTTGCCCCACCTTCCCCTACAAATTATATGAAATGGAAACATTTTAATCATTTTTTAAAAATGGCTATTGTCATTTATTTATTCTTTCGAAATGCGAGTGATTCATAAAAAGTTAATTAATATATTTATTCGTTGGCTTTAGCTAGATCTAAAACTCAATTTACATAATATTTAAATAATTAAATATTCTGGTTATTCTAACACGTTATACAATTTTTTTTATGTAAAAATATAGAGTTCTTTTAAAATTTTTCAATAACTGAATTCAAGTTTTAATGCTATAAACTTTTTATCTTTGGCTTTTTCTGCTCTGAAGGAAATAATATACGATTTTTGTTCGTGTCTACAGCGGTTCGGCAATACTGTACCCACAGAAAAGGAACCTGGTGGTAAAGCACATGATCAGACATATCTGGGACGGACCGTTGACCAAAAATTCCTAAGATTTTTCGATTATCCGGATACGATTTCAGATCTCTTAGGGAGAGAGTTCGAAGCCTTTACCGCTTCGGCCGTCAAAATATGCATTTAACAAAAAATTAACTTTTTTAATAAACGTATCGGAAAAACAGTAAAACGGTTTATGTATTAACACTGTCGTTACAAAGAGATAATTATTAAAAATACTGTGGTAAACAATCGTTTCGTGATGTCTGAAAATTGTTTGCTATAGCAGCATTTATTAGTGTTTTTTCCCCCCTAGTCTTTAAAATTTTAATTATCTTATATAAAGTATGTCATTGAGATTTTAATAATTACTAGAAATAATTAATAAATAATAGAAATAAAAGGTTTTTATTGTTTTAATTAATTTCTTACTTAAATTTTTGAAGTTCAATGCATTAACTAATCATGTCATTAGAATTATTACAGTATAAAACATGAATTGCATATGTAATATAAACTAAATACGTGTATATATATATATATATAGAAAATTACATTGTTTATTTGCATTAAGTCAGGATATACCCGAACTTTAAATATTTGAATAATGTGTACTATGTACCGGACATAGAAAAACTAGTATTTGTAATATTTTAATTAATTTACTTATGCATTGTCGTTTAGTTTCGGTAGTTTATAGTTTTACGGCAGTTTATACAATTTATTCTTTCGTATATAATAGTTTTTAAAATTTGTTTTGTAGTTATTAGTATTATGAAATTTTATTTACAAAATATTATTGATAACATTTTAAACACTGAAACTACCGTTCACGAATATAAAAGAAGAAAGAAATGTTTGACTTTTATATATAGTATATGTATGTATAATATTGACTTTTTGTAAATTTGATTATTGAAGATTGCACTTCTTACTTTCTTAAAATTTTAAACTATTTAAAAATTTTAATAAGTTTATAATTATTTTGTCAGCAGTGTAATTATGAATAATCTTGATTTTGCGGTAATTTTATTTGAATTTTGTATAACTTTTAAGTATTTTCCAATTAGAGCAGAATGTGCTCAAAATATAGTTGCGTAAATTAAATAATTGATTATAAAAATATAAACAGTGAAGAGAATGAATTTTTAATATTATCTTTGCGTCAGTTATAATGAAATTTGTTATAATAATAGTTATCACGAGTTACACCAAACTTGCTTTCATGAAAACATGTTTATCAAACCGGATCAATCCAATATTTTTTTAAATTCTTATTTTAATACTGTCAAACTGTTTAGGCATAATAATTAGCTTTTAGATATAATGATCTTCACAGACACACGTTATTGTAAACAACTTCGTGTTGTCATAACAACATTTAATGTTACCCTTCTGTATAAATTCAAAAGAAAATTACGAAAAACGCTTGCTATTATACTTTCGTAAAATTCAATTTGCATGTTAATTATACAGGAGATATGATCATTTTTAATATATTGGTTTTCTTTATTGCTAATTTTGCTGTTGTAATTTCGAATAAAAGTAAGTGCTATAAATTTAATTAAAACGTTTCTTTACATGTTTTTATTTATTAATTTGTTGTAAATAGTTTATGTTTTCTGTCCATCTCTGTGTGCTGAATATGAGTGTATTTTTCGTTATATAGTACCCATGTATATGTTTGTATCGTGTCTCTGTAAACATCTATGTATATATGTGTGCTTTTGCATTCATACAATACAATCAATGTTATATTATATTATAAATTTTTTACATTAAATTTCAACGATTGCTATTCTATAATAAAACAAAATGATATAACATTTTTACTAAACTATACATATACTTTTGCGTAAATGAATAAATACGTAATTAATATGAAAAATACACATTAAATGAATGAATGAATAGATAAATAAATGTGTATAAGTAAATAATTTATCTTCTACTCATTGTTTAATAATAAAAATAAAATAATCAGCATCTGAAAATGTCATTTAGAAATAATGAAACATGAAAATTTTTATTAGGTAATTTGGACCGTAACTATGTTTGGAAGATTTCTATCAGCAACGTAATATTTCAATTTATTCAAATAATTTCTATTACATATACAAGCTTCCTACAATATTTTCCTTTTTTTACAGAACACCAATATTACTAAACTTAGTAATTCAGGAAGAGAAATTATTGGTGGTTATTGTTTTGGCATATTTAAGATAATACAAGAAAAATTAAACTTTAGGTAATTTTTTCTCATACCGTACAAATTTCCCAAATCTTATTTAAGGATATTATTATTATTATTGTAAGATNCCAGAAAGTTATAATTAGAATTAATTTGTTAAAATTTCTATATAAGACAATTCTGGAGCAAATGTTTGGAGAAATTTTTAATTCCTTTAAGAAATTATATTTTTAATTATTTCAAAGAAAATAAAGTACACAAAGAGGTAAAGAAATTTAAATATCACAAAATATTAAAGTATTATTTTAAAGAAATAAAAATGACAATTCCCATCAAAATCCAAAGAAGGGTGATAGCTGTGTCATCGACTCCAAGAGAAGTAAAATTAAAAATTTAATTTTTATGAAAGTAATAACAAACTTACATTTTCCTCTGATAATTTGACTTCTCGAATAATCATCAAAAGAAAAAATGCTGAAATGATTTATTTATTAAGATTACTTCGTTCTGCATCAACAATTTAAATCAATAATAAAAATCGAGTAATATTTTATAGTTTCCTTTATTATAATTTTTAAAAAAATTAGGAAACACTTACCGATAAAAAAGGAAAAATATAACTTGCTCATGTTTTCTCGAATGAAGTTCTCTAGAGAATAGCAGAGAAGTGAATTTCCTGTAATTCGGACTTGCTTTTATAGCACTAAACTCGAGTGAGGCCAATAAACCACGCCACAATTTACCTGTCAAATTAAATATAAACACTACTCTTGTCGCTTACGTGACGGCTCATTAGCATATTTCATATGACAATTGCATTCGATAAAATTAGGCCAAACATTCTTTTATATATGTAATTCTTTATCGAAAGCGCTTTAATTAAAATTAATAAAGATATTTTTGACTGTAAAAGATCATTCATTTACCAAAAGAAAAAATGCTGAAATAATTTATTCATTAAGATTACTTCGTTCTGCATCAACAATTCGAATGAATAATATAAAACGAGTAATATTTTGTAGTTTCCATTATTATAATTTTTAAAATATTAGGAAACACTTACCGATAAAAAAGGAAAAATATAACTTGCTCATGTTTTCTCGAATGAAGTTCTCTAGAGAATATCAGAGAAGTGAATTTCCTGCAATTCGGACTTGCTTTTATAGCACTAAACACGAATGAGGCCAATAAACCACGCCACAATTTACCTGTCAAATTAAATATAAACACTACTTCTTGTCGCTTACATGACAGGTCATTAGCATATTTCATATGACAATTGCATTCGATAAAATTAGGCCAAACACTGTTTTATATAATTCTTTATCGAAAGCGCTTTAATTAAAATTAATAATTCTTAATTTCTTTTCGTCCAATGGTTCTTTTTGTTTAATAGTTTAAAAGACAAAATTCGCCCAAACAGAGACCACCATTTTTATTTCGTGTTTAAGGCAATACAATCCTGGCGACCGACCTTCCTTTTTAGGCTACTAGCCGTCAAAACGCTAAATATTTCCTTTTAAAAAACACAAATTTTCCAATTAAAAAAATATAAAAGGTTTCTAAAAAAGGAGTTGATGACATACGAACGTCTTCTTTAAACCATCTAACCTTCTTAGGGTGTTTCGGCTTTATATCCACGAAGTAGTAGGCGCTGGAAAATGTAGATTTTGGAAAGCCTCCCTCTAGTGACGATAGTTTACAATTTGATTCTTAATTTATTTTCGTCCAATGGTTCTTTTTGTTTAATAGTTTAAAAAACAAAATTCGCCCAAACAGGGACCACCATTTTTATTTCGTGTTTAAGACAAAAGGAANAGTATAATCGTTTTCAATCATTTTTTTATTAATTAACAACTCGTGCTTCTTAAGTACTTCATAATAGAAAATTATTCAATATTTAGGAAATTTATAAAACGTATCAGACAAATTTTGAATTGTTCGATATAACTTATAAAAAACTTATTTTTATTACGAAATACAATTTATGTAATATTAATTGAGAACCCGCTTTTAAATTTCTTTTCATTTTAAAAATAATAATCGTCTTATTAATTGTTTAAAACTATTTTTATGTAGCAAGCAGACTTTTCATTTTATCCCTCAAGTGTGACGTATGAACGCTTTTCTTTAATGGAATTCACATCTTACGTCAAGGTATATCACGTACGATTTATTGCGACACAAAGAACTTTGAAAACGAATTGGAAAACAATTTTGAAACCTTTTTCTCTCGAGGTAAATTATCACAGTTAAGTATTCAAATTTCTGTAATTTTTTTGGATTTTTATCAATCTGTACATTTCGAACCTCATATGTTATATATAAGTATCTAATTGAATGGGCCTTTAAAATTTGATTAAAATCTATTTAAAAATATCAGATTTCTCTAAATTTAAAACTAAACTTCATTCAATATTGTTTAATAACCTCTATATTGTTGATATTGTTGATGTTTTAAGACCTGGATAGGAATTGGCGTTTCTATTTTGTTGCTGGCATTTATAACCTCTCTAATAATACGATACGAAGCAAAAATAATAGGAAAAGTAGCGGATTTTCCAGTAAAAAATATGTTATGGTATCTATTTGGAAGTGTTATTTCGCAGGGTAAGTAAAAGTATTAATACATAAAAATATCTAGGAAATCGTATTCTTATAAGTATGATGTTTATACAGGTGCAAATTTGAATTACTTCAAGTTATTTCCATCGAGATTCATTTTTGGAATATGGCTATTGGCTACAGTTATCTTACAATACAGTTATAGCGGATTATTAATGTCCTACTTGACGGCACCCGCTTACGAACGAGTTCCCACAACATTTGAGGAATTGATACGTGCCCTTGGCAAAGGGGAATTTACCTGCGGAGTAAATAATTTAGGTTCCATGATTAACTCTATCACGGTGAGCAAAATTTTTGCCTAATCTATTTACAACATTGACGCTTTGTAATGTTTAAATAGCTGTTTGTTTACTGACAACGAACAATAACGTCGTATTCTGTTTTATTTATTTATTTTCTTATATTTTAAAATTTCTGCAGAATTTTATTAAACTTTTGAAAACCAACAAAATATTTGAGCAATGGACGTGAAATGTATTCGGAAAATCTTTCTTTTCCCTGGTTTTTTTACATTTATGTTTGTAAATGACTGAATTAAAATTATATTACAGTATTAAAATTATAAATTATTAAAATTTTCCGAATCCCGAAGGTTGAAGATTTATTGGATTTTCACAAAAAATATATCATCTAAAAAAATAAAAAATCAATTAAAAAAATTAATTATAAATTTTACTTTCCCGGCTGTTATGTACTGTATATAACACGAGAAAAAGTTGAAATAGTGTCAAATATTTTTGAGACTCCCTGAACCCAAGTAAGTGAAAAGACGGATAAAAATTCTGTCGATACATATGTATTTGTGTGCTTTTGTGTTGGTGTCTATTTCGTTTAATATCTGGGAATGAAAGTGAAGATTAATAAAGGAAATTTGCATGCATATCATACTTGTATCATATAAAAAGGTGATGCTTTTAAATTTTTAATTATTTCTTGAAGTCGACTTATAGCCCGAAAGTTCCGGTAATTTTTATAATTTGAAAATAAATAATGATGTTTTGTTTATTATTAAGTACGGCATTTAAAATTTATTTCCAGGAATCGAAATTGGATAAGACTAATTCTATAAAAGATTACATGGAAGTAATGGACATTCTGAAAGATCCGAAGAACGTAATTGACCGATTGCAAAATGAAAAGTTTGCATTTATCGTACAGGATATTGTCATAGACAAGTTTCTAAAACAAAAATTAAAGGGAAAAATTGTGACAAGTAATGTTTTGTTAACATTAAATTCTGCTTATGCCGTAAGGAAAGGATTTCCTTTTAAAATGAAACTTAACAAAATGTATAGTTTTATAATTAATGTTAGAGTTTATTTTGAATTTTTAGGTATTCATTTTAATAATAATTTTAACTCTTTTCCAGTATTCTTCAACTATTNAAAAGGAAGGTCGGTCGCCAGGATTGTATTGTCTTAAACACGAAATAAAAATGGTGGTCCCTGTTTGGGCGAATTTTGTCTTTTAAACTATTAAAATTAATAAAGATATTTTTGACTGTAAAAGATCATTCATTTACTCACACTAATTAAAACCTTGCTCGATAATATCTATTGTTATATCTTTAACATTTATTTTGAATTATAAGTAGATTTTATGCACTTTTACACTTGATTAACGTCGGGTAAAAAAATGATGATGCTTTACTAATTAAACCTTCGAAATTAAATTAAACTGACAATATCTATTGTTTAATATTTTAATTGTTCAATCTTCTAAATATATAAAATTGCTTGTCCTGACTGACTGACTGAATGAATGAATAACTCACTTACTCAGTCACTGATTCATCATCGCCCAGAGCAGACCGCTTAACCTAAAGAGGTGAAATTTAGTAGACTGTTAGGGTACGTCATGGAAACGCTCACTAAGAAGGGATTTTTCGAAATTCCCTCGCAGGGGGAGAGGGAGAGCATTAATGCTTAACCGGAACAACGTCTTCTACTGTACTATTTTAGATGCGATTTTTTGTTTTTATCTGCGTTTTAGTAGGGTATGCCATGGCAATGCACACTAAGAAGGGATTTTTCGAAATTCCCCCGCGGGAAAAGAGGGAGAGGATTTAGTCTTCATCGAGTACTTACGTGTATTAAATTGATAACATTTCAGACATTGTTATAAATATTTTTATCTATTTCGATTTTTAAAATGTTCGAACNATGAAAGTGAAGATTAATAAAGGAAATTTGCATGCATATCATACTTGTATCATATAAAAAGGTGATGCTTTTAAATTTTTAATTATTTCTTGAAGTCGACTTATAGCCCGAAAGTTCCGGTAATTTTTATAATTTGAAAATAAATAATGATGTTTTGTTTATTATTAAGTACGGCATTTAAAATTTATTTCCAGGAATCGAAATTGGATAAGACTAATTCTATAAAAGATTACATGGAAGTAATGGACATTCTGAAAGATCCGAAGAACGTAATTGACCGATTGCAAAATGAAAAGTTTGCATTTATCGTACAGGATATTGTCATAGACAAGTTTCTAAAACAAAAATTAAAGGGAAAAATTGTGACAAGTAATGTTTTGTTAACATTAAATTCTGCTTATGCCGTAAGGAAAGGATTTCCTTTTAAAATGAAACTTAACAAAATGTATAGTTTTATAATTAATGTTAGAGTTTATTTTGAATTTTTAGGTATTCATTTTAATAATAATTTTAACTTTTTTCCAGTATTCTTCAACTATTCGAATCGGGAATAATAAAATATCTTGATAAAATCAAACGACAAAATGCTATGAATGAACATATCCGTAAAGAAGATCATCCGTTTGACATCGAAGAGTTACAGGGAGCGGTGATACTACTTATTATTGGTTATGTATTATCCTTTGTTTGCTTTCTTTCGGAAATATTTATTCGAAAGTATAAAAACAAATTATTTCGCATATTTCAAAAAAACAATCTTAATAAATAGTTATTTATTTATTTATTAAACTGTGTAAATTATTGTGTCACTGAAAACAGAATATATTACGAAAAATTGTTTTCTCAATTACCTTTATGATTTTCATTATTAATAAAATAAAAAGAAAGGAATTTTTTTACATTTAATAAAAGGAGATGTGGTATTCTATTTTCCCGTGCGGTTGAACACGTGCTTACATTTCTACCCCGAACATTGAAATCAGTAAACATTAACAACTAAGAAAATCAACAATTCGAGATTTCAACAAGTCTAAATGCTCC